CTTTAGAGAGCAATTAAGATGACAATAGTGAAACAGAAGAAGAAAAAAACCTGAGAGAAAAAACTTTCATCCGGATTCGTCTGCCAGCTGCTCGGCAATTTGAATCGCCGTGAACAAAACAATCAGCGGGAATACATTCGAATCGGCATGAGGCGAGAGTGATTGATTTTAATGGCAGACGAGTCTATCTGGGCCGGTCGTCGATTGTCCCGCACCGCGCCTGGGGCTCCACTCAAATAGTCATAACCCAGGTATTGCTATTGCCGTTGAGAATTGACTCGTGAGATCAATGGTCTTAAAAACTGAAGATAATTCCATATCGTCAGTAATATGAATAACAAGATTTCCCGTATTTAATTGATTTTTGAAAAAAGAAACGGTGAGCATTTCCTGGATTTGACGCAGTATGGCTACCTTCAATTAATAAATTTGAAAAAAAAAATATAGATTTTATGAACCATAGGGACAATAACCCGCAAGCTGGTCCAGGCATAGACATTCTATGATATTTTCCTGAGTGCTCGTCTGAGTGAGACCGACATCGGTTTGCAGACGGTTTTTAGCACGGAATTCAAACAAATTTGATCATTTTCTACCTAAATTTATCGCTTCTGATAAAAAAGAAGGGAGTTAATTACAGCAATTCAATTTTATGCGCTTTACCTAACTCTATTCAATTTTATGCGCTTTACCAAAGTCTATTCAATTTTGAAAAATGTCCTACTTTTTTTTCAAAAATGTCTGCGAATTTTTACTATCATATGAATAATTATGATAATTTTTAAGTATATGAATAAGAGAGGTCACTCAAAAGTTGAATCATCAAAAAGCTCAATATCCTCACGGCTGAGATTAAAATTGAAAGTCAGTTGAAGTCCAAAATACTTGCTCGATTATACCTCTGAAATTGAGGCTCTGGAAGAGCTGAAAAATGTTGCTTCAGGCTATGTGACGCAAAGCTGTCTGTCTGATTGTTTCTCCATTTATCGTTAATCGCTTTACAGATATCTCTCCTGACTTTTCTACAGCAGACCGTTTATGTTTATATCAGTTAAACCGAAACAGTTTTATTTATTTTTATAAACTTTTAATAACTCACAATAACCGAGAGGACATCCAAATAATTTTAGAATTTGATCCAAATAAGAGACAAAGGTAACGAAAAAGTCGCAGAGATGGAAGTTGATATTTGATAATGACATCCAGCCGTCGAATTTTATTAGAAACTGGTCAAACGCGTTCATGATATTTGGTGCGAAACCCGGTCATCGCGCGCCTCAAGGTATGAAAAACTATGTAGGTTTGTGACCGAAGGAAGAAAGTGCACGCGCGAACTAAAAGACACACGGAGCTTGTGCGATCAATTACGCCAATTTCTGTAGAACTCGGGCTTTTTTCCTGGAGGAAAAGAAACGTGACAAAAAAGGATTTTATGATGAAAGTGGTAACACTGTACTGGCTGTGAAGAATGTCATTTGACTCCTTTCTCCATAGCAAGCACTGCTTTTACTATAGAGGTTTAATACAGGATATTCAAGGCTTATTTTAGTTTCAGAGTACATCCTGGTTATATGTGCTCTCCCCAAGTAGCACAGTGCAACGAAAATATTGAAATTAAATCGCAATTTGATTTTAATAAAATTGTAATTTTTTTACCATTAAATTGCAATATTTTTACACCATTTAGCTAATTTATGCCGATTTTAAACAATCAAAAAAATGAGCACGATGTGTCAGAAAGATAGGCATTATGGAATGCAATGAAAAATTGCAACTTATTTCAATTTTATTGCAATACGTTTCAATGAATCGGGACCCTTCAAATAGGAGCTAGGCAACATACAAAGCACTCAAAGGGATTGCAATTGGATTTATACCGTTGAAAATACTGAACTCTGGTAAATTACTTTTCATTTTGAATCGATTGCTAACTTGGATTTTTCACATTTAAGTGCGCATTAAGTATTTTACTATTCATCCTTTCACAGGGATCAGTTTTTGATCTGCTCTGAGTAACACTGGAAAAAAAGCACATCGGATCTAGAATCCAGACTCTTGAAAACATTGACAAGAAAAATTACTTTTGATTCAATCAGATTTTCCCTTAAATCAAAAGGAAATCCGCTCAAATTAAGAGGCTTGGTTCTTGATTGAAGCAAAAATTCGATCGAATCAAGAGTATTTGTTCTTGTCGATGTTTTTAAGAGTCTAGACTCTAGATCCAATGTGTTTTTTTTTTTTTTCCAGAGTGTGAAATTTCAGCTCAGAGCTATCTAGAGCCTCATATAAAATTATAATAGTTCGATTCAGATGTGAGTATATTAAAGGCTTTCATAATAGAACCGTAAATAAATACATCACTCAGCTATCACACCTGTTTCGAAAAAATTGGCATTGCACATTTATTACTCTACGAAAGGTGGTATGACCGGGAACGATAAATCTATTCTTGACCCATATCGATGTAATCACAAGATGAGGGAAAACCCTAAAATACCGTTAAAAAGCTGACCTTAAAAGCACAACCTTTCCAAGCGGATTTCCAGGAATTTTATGCTGATTTTCCGCCTTGAGGGGTTTTTTTGTGTTTTTTTAATGATCAGACCTTTAAATATACCTATTCAAATCGCTCTTCAAATCAAATAGTTTGAATCTGGGTGTGCAGGACGGTTCCTTTGCTGGTCGATCCAATTAACGCAGCGGCGGGATAAGTATGAAGACGTCACGCGACTTGATCGAGAAGCATCCAGCAACCGCTAATTAGCGGTATATTCATCCGTTTTCGGCCTCTAACTTCGCATTCTACGTTAACCTTCATTTTTCTCACCACTCATACTAACTGTTGTTCACCTCTGAGAATAATCATTCATTTAGCCATTTCAAGCACTGGAAAAAAACCACACTGTAGAGTCCATCAGACTCTTGAAAACATTGACATGAAAAAATACTCTTGATTCAATCAGATTTAAGCAAAATCCGCTCAAATTAAGAGGATTGGTTCTTGATTTAAGCTTAAATCTGATTGAATCAAGAGTATTTTTTCTTGTCGATGTTTTTAAGAGTCTGGACTCTAGATCCAATGTGTTTTTTTTCCAGTGAGATTTATATTTGGAGATTTCAGGGATGTGTTAGACTGAGCTGATATCCGTATCGGAGGTAAACTCACGAGATCTCGGGAAAATTTCCAAACTGCGGTTGAGTTATTTAACTCGGATGCGTGTGTCAATTTCTCCTCAGGATTCACTTATTATTGTGGTTTTCGGTTTTGTGAAGGAACTTTCCAATGAGTTTTAGTGATGACGGAAACTCCAATTGAAAGGGAAAGAAGATAAACGAAAGCATGTATTAAGAACTTTCATTTTAACTTAAGCTCTTGGCTTAATGAATTATTACTGACTCCTCACTGTCAGTTGAATAATGCTTTTTGTTACCATTCCTTCTGCTTTCCCTCAGCAAGAATGTCTGGAACATTTTCTGTCGCAGTAATCTTACATGCTTTATGTTTTGTTGTACAAATTCCTTCATTTTTCAAACTTTTTAATGCTCGAATTTAGATCTCCGATGACAAAAAAATCTTTCATCCACGTTTCATCCCCAAAAAGTTGCTTATTTCCGTGACCGATCGAAAACATTCCTAATGAGCCAATTTTTGTGAAGAAAGATCATGTGGTCGCCCGGTTGACATGAGTGCGTAAACTACACATTAAGTGAGGTGAGACCGGAAAGTATTGAATTGTATGAATAACGGGATTCATTGCTGAGTGTGGTTATACGCCCCGTATAAGTCAGGTGGGCGCCGATGTGGATAAACAAACCAATAGAAGTAAATGTACCATGAATAATCGTCAAGCTAGAAAAATGCCACTTATTGAATTTTACTTCTCTGAGGGAGGATCTTTCAAACATTATTCGCACTTAAAATATGTGTAATTTCATCTGAATTTGAAAGATAATAGAAAGAATATCAATAATAATGCTACTAAACAAAAAACCGTACAATATCTTTCCTATCACTGAGAAAAATAACCCCTCAAATCCTAAAATAACGTGATAAAAGCTCTCGCACTAAAAGACCCCTTGACTGTCCGTATACACGGTTAACTCATTTTCGAAGGACTTTATCTGTCAAAAAAAATCGAAAAATTTGCAGTATGAAATACTAGATATCGCACCGTCCTACTTCTCTGAGAGGCAACTTACCTTTTGTCCTTCATAATTTAATATGAGAAACATCCATGAATACACTGTTAAAGTTTAACTTCGCAGAAATATTCATCGCTCCCACTATAATTTAGGAACTTATGGACTTGTCAAAGGAATTTCAGGCTGCGAAAGTACATCAGCATTGATTTAATGCTAATTGATTTAATTCGACTTGCGCGAACTTTACTTGTTTTGAACAGAACTTTTGGATTTACGAGCGCATAAAACGCTTATTTCTCTCTCAAAAGTCACAATTTTTAAAATGTCTAACGAGGCAACCCAGCTCTGCCCAAAATTATACGGGAACATGGGCTGCTATAAAATTCCTTGTGATTTCTAGCCCCTTTTGGGGTTCCATTCAAAAATATTTCCAGATATTCGACATAATAATCTGCCTTTTTGAAGTTACATAGATTTTCCCATAATGTTCATCAACCTGCAGATTTCACAAAAAATTCACGTTTTCACGTAGAGCAAAAAATCCCAATTGAATCGGTGAGAACGAAAACACACCAACTCGGTAACTCAAAAATGCTCTATTTTCATTAAAGACAGTCAATTTTCAAAAAAGTCATTGAAGTTAGCGCATCTGTGCCAACTTGAACCTTTAAAGTGTCCTTAAGTACTTGTCCTCCGGCGCCAAAAATCTTTTTCTTGGACTAACCTCTTCACCTACTGTGCAGTTTTGTGTGCGTTTTGATTATTTTCATTTTTTCGAGTTGGTACGTTTCCGTTCTCACTGATTCAATTCTCAGCCTTGAACTTAAATTAGACGAACCTAAAATATAGATACGTACATAAGTGCAAATCCTCGTCCTGATCCTATTCAGCGGAGACACGGCCGTGGGGGCCTAAGAAAATCCATTTCCACTGAACTTCACCATCACTGTCACAAACACTCGCGCACGGGGGGCGGGGGTTGGAGGGCTCGCATCTTGCCCCCTAGACCTCGGGCACTGGGGTTGCTGGGGGATGGGAGCGGATTCCGACACTGGAGGATTCTGGAATCGGGGGTTTCCCGGCGGCGGCTATGCGGATAGCGCGGAACTGAGGATGTCGCGGTGGGTGATCGGTGCACGGAACCGGTGTGCCAAAGTGAGAGTGCTGCGCGCGGGCATTGACCAAAAGAAACGGAGGTCCGCCACGCCGTCCTTCCAAGCTCCGCCGCCAGGAGCGCTTCCTTCCGCTGCGGCCTCTTCCTTTCCAAAGCTGGGCTTGCGCCCCCCCCCCCCCCCCCCCCCCCCCCCCCCCNATCCCTCGGAACCCGGTGGGCCGGAGTTTGAATCCGAGTGGATCGGGATGATATATCTCACAAAACAGGACGCGTTGAATCAGGTACGAGACAAGGTACGAATTCGTTTTCCTTTTTTCTTTTTTTACGTAGTATTACGTCTTTTTGTACTAGGTTCGGGGGAGGGGGCTCTTTTTCCGAATTTTACAGTCGGACAGGAATTTTCCGAAATTTACAGTCAAAAAATATGTTTAACTCCTATTGCAACTTTCCAAATTTTCGCTCTTTTTTACTGTTTTTAAAAAATGCTCAACGAACACTTTTTAAACACGGATGATATCAAGCCAAAGGTACTTGAATTTATTATTTGTACTTATGCATGACGCTTTACCAGGTACCTTCAGATCTTTGGAAACCTTCACCTTAAAATGCACAAAATACAGATACCTAAGGAATTTAATTCTGTGTATGTTAAGTTAAAAAGTTCTACGACTTTGGAGATGCCTGAAAAGACATAATAAAGGCATAAAAAATAGATTAAATTAAAGCAAGTGCCTTCGTCCTAAGATCACCTATTATATTTGAGTAATTATAAGGTGAATTATGCACAAAAGATTCAATAAAACGATTTTTCCTAAAATTGTCTGCAAAAGTTCTAAGAAATCCACAAAAGCTCTTAAATGAGGAAACGGTTAATTGAAACGGTTTGATTTTAACTTTCCTTTTGTTGTGTGTTTTCTCGTATATTTTAAATTTGTCACCTAGGTCTTTTTAAGAGTGATCGATTCAACTATGTCTGACGCGACTCCATCTCGACCCAGTGAGCGTACCCCGGCCTCATCGGCAACCCGCAGTGCACACTCATCCGGCGTAAACTCATTCCTCTCTAATGAATTAGGTACCAGATTGTGAATCGCGGTCATTGTAAACAAACTCGTTCCCCCTCTGTCCCCACGAGCTGGCCGCTCCCTCTGTCTCTCTCGCGCAGTCCGCTTCAGCACGAGTGAAAAAACGCGCCTGCCTAAATTCAGCCGTCTGACCCGAAAAGACCAAAAAAGCTTTCACTTAATTCTACCTGATAATGCTGCTTAATGACTTAATCCACGTAAGAGAGGAGATGGACCGAAATCCTGCATTAAGGAAACACTGATCTATGCCACTCACGTAAATTTGCAACCTCAAGAATAACAAGTCTGAACCACTCGAGAAATTCCAAATTTCGTATCGAAATTGGGGAGCGACTTAATCGAATCAATCGAAATTTGTAGATATGCAAAGCAACTTATTTAAACATCCGCTAGAATTTTTTATTGGCTGTGCATGGTTCAAAACCATTCCTCGGGTTTTTTGTTTTTTTTTTGTTGTTGATTTATATTTTTGAGTGACCAATTTTTCAGTTTACTTTATGAAATTTCTGGTTCCTAATCAATAGTGCCAGCATGCATGCGTGGTTTTAAGCAGGAGGAACTGAGAACTATGTGACTGAGAGAGGGAAACTGAAGTCTAAGACGATAAAAATACAACTTATCGCACGAAAATTATTTCTATTGTAGCTTATTATCAACTCATTCAAGGGGTATTTTACGACAGATCAATACTTTATTTTTTCGATTCCCCTTTTCTGACTGTAGCTCTCAGCTGATAATGAATATTTCGCAGGCAATTAGTCAAAGCAGGCATTTTATCAAATGCCTGGCTTAATTTCTGACAGTTTACGAAATTTTGAAAATTTAGGACGAAGATCTCACGAGTTCTCAATATTTTGGAAGGAATTAATCATCTTCGCTACAAACTCTCTTTGTTCGTTCCTCCTCAAATGCTTATCATTTATTTAAACGTTAAAATTTTTAATCATTCTGTGTTTAATGGGCCTGTTGCAAACTTTTGCTAGAGAAAAAATAAGAGTTTGTTTCTTAGACAAAATGCCTCAAAAATCACGATGAGCGCATGGGCAAAGTTTTAAATGCACTCATAACTTCACATCTGCGTAAGATTTTTCCGTTTTTTGAGCTTTCCGCTTCAAAAACGATACTACGGCACAGGTGAACAATTTGTTAGAGGAGTCGCTCCATCGTCGGCAATATTCATCATGGCCGACGCTTCCGCTGTTCCGCGCGTAATTCGAGGAGAGTTCAGGGTTAATTAAGGCGCGACAGAGCACAGGGGAGAATTTTATGAGCTACCCTGCGCCGTCCACAACGCGCATGGCGAACGACCCGCCTTTCATTTTTACACTTCATCTAGCGTTGAGAGTTCAATTTTATAAGTCAAAAATTAAAAAGAAAAATTTAAAAAAATGTACAATTTCACGATACTCGAGTTTCTCCGCCAGGGAGCTCTCCCCGCAAGAAATCGTTCCCCACCTGCCCACCAGGAGAGCCGCAGCGTGCTGCCAGCTCGAAACGCGCACTGACGCCTACAAACCTAACAGAGATACTACACGCATTGCGCAACGCCTGAAGTATCCCCTTAGGTTTGAAGGCGTCAGAGCGCGTTTCGGGATGGCAGCACGCCGCGCCGCAGCGTGCTATAAACTTACCCACAGGTCATGGTTTTAAAATGTAGGCAATTTGACATCAAATTGAAAGTTAGACTGAAAAAAAACTCAGTTACGAAACATTCATGATCTTTCAGTCACTATGCGACATATTTCTTCCTATTCTTCAGTTTTGGACCATAGTGCGCCACGGGCGCACTGATGGTCATGCAATGCAAATGTTCGCATTCATTTGATATTAAAATGTCACCACTAACAATACTGGGGCTTTTACTCAGAAAGTGTGATAAAAATGCCTGACAGTGATTTTCTCATGCAGAGCTTGACAACAATGGATGAGATGAATCACTTTCGGATGTAATTAAACGAGAGAAATTAGAGGTGACGAATAATGACCTTTGCACGTACATTCATCTTGGTAAAAGTGCGAGTGTTTCATGCTCAATCTGTTCTCAATTTACTTTATCTCATTCCCTTTCTTGTGCTTCACGAGTTTTGGTAAATTAACGTGCATTGCTCCACGCATTTTAGCAGTGATATAAGCATTGAGATTCACTGTCAGAGCACTATGATCGAGTGAAAGCGCAGATGCAGCGTCGGTATTTAGCCAAAATAGACCCTCTATATTCTCAATGTAAATGATTCTTGCAGAGACGAAATTGAAAACTGCCAATACTTATTTTGGATGGAAAACTTGTGACAGAGGTTCTAAAGAAAAGAATTATTGAATTCCATTTCGTGTAAAAACACGACTTCTAGTTTCATCTGTAGATGTTCTTCATTCTTAAACTATACCTGCATTTGGAGTAAAAGTTGATTCTGTTCCTGGGCGATTAAATCAATTCAATTTTATAATTAATCGCATAGGAATTTATTTTGGGCAATGCTCACGAATATGGTAACGATAACGTTATGGTCGCTTTGGCCACGATTATGTTGGTTCCCTTGCTGTAATAATCTTCTCAACAGCTACTTCAATCCTACGACTGATGTTGAAATGTCAAACATGTGAGAAAGATCACGACCCAGAGACCACAAGAGGACTCATAAATCAATTTCAATGAAAAAAGTAATAAGAGTAATTGTAAGATAACAATTTTTATTTTGAAAAAACGTTTACATCGAACTTACGGGATTTAATAACGAAAAATACTTAGAATGAATCAGGACTTCCACACCCCATCGACACCCCATGAAAAAAATGACAAATGAACGGAAAAATCCCGATGTCAGGGAGACATGCACCTTCCTTTAAATTTAATTACATACCTTTACTAAAAACGATCACATTGGTACTGTGTTGAGATCACGTTATCACCAACATTGTCAGTGACTAAAATATGACACCTGGAATCATACTGATGCCAACATTGTATCAACATTGCACCGACATGGTCTCAACATGGTGCCAACTTGGTCTCTACATTATACCATGTTTGGTCACAGGCGGGCAATTCGACCAAATTGGTGCCACTATACAATGGAAAAAAAACACATTGGATCTAGAGTCCAGACTTTTGAAAACATTGACAAGAAAAAATACTCTTGATTCAACCGGATTTTTGCTTGAATCAAAACAAAATCCGCTTAAATTAAGAGGCTTGGTTATTGATTTAAGCTAGATTCTGATTGAATCGAGATTACTTTTTCTTGTCGATGTTTTTAAGAGTCTGGACTCTAGATCCAATGTGTTTTTTTTTCCAGTGTAGTACCATGTTGATAGCATGTTAATACCAGGTTGGCGTCGAAATGGTGTCATGTTTTACTCCCCAACATGCTCGTTTTTAGCAGGAATAAGGTAAAAGTATTGTAAAGTTACAGATTAGTACAGATTAGTTAGTTACAGATATTGTAAAGAAAAATTTGAACTAGTATTGAATTTAACTTTCATCAAAATTGTCGAGCTCCAATCATGAGCCCAGGTTAGGAGCTAATTCGGCAACACTCGCGGCCGCGCTATGAAGATATAAACATTCATCGAGCGCCAGCCGGGCCTTATTCTGTCGAATAATGAGTTATTAGCTGTGTAAAAGTTCTCGCCAGAGAGAGATTTTATGCATCTGCCTCTTTGCGTCGGTCAAATTTTCAGAGTCGAAATAGCTTGATCCTCCAAACGCATCATCTCGAGGAAAGTCAGCGCTTCGTGATGAGTTGCAGTTTCAAATAGTTTCAAGCTTCGATCCACGGGGGAATTCAATGTCTTGCATATCATCGATGAGAAAATAGCATGCCAAAGCAGAATGCGTTCACAATGAAGCTGCTAGAAGCAACAAGCTGAAGGCCAATGCATGTTTGTTACGGGTGAATCGTGAGTTCCATGCAGGCTGGAACATGGGCGAACCAAGGAATTTGTCGAATTTTTTAGGAAGCTTTGAGG